AAAAAACAAACTACTATTATTATTATTATTTTTATTATTATTATTATTATTATTATTATTATTATTATTATTATTATTATTATTATTATTATTATTATTATTATAGTGTTCTAGGTCCTTTAACATCAAAGCTTTAAACAATATACTGAGCCAAAATTTACTTATAATAATGCAAAGTATATCACATAGAACAAACTGAGAAAGCTTTAGATAGTATTGCTGGGAAAAATAAGTACTGAAACGAAAACAGCAATAAAGAATTGCAAACCCTAGGTGAACCAGACGAAGAACATGACAAGAATAACACTATGAACGTAATAGCTCGCCATTTCTCCACTATTATCAAATACAAATTTCATTCACAATTTTAATAACAAATTGAACTGACCCAAATAGATTAACGAAAATTGAACTTCCAAGCAACGAACAACAGAAGAAAAATAAACAAGCACGCACGCACGCACGCACGCACCTAACTCAGAAGGCCAAACACGTTCTTACAAAGAATTTTTTTCCAGATGTAGAGAGGAGAATTCATTGAATAGTAAAGTGGTCGTAGCCTTACATTAATCACATCACAGTCGTTTATTAATAGGTGTTTTTACAATTGTGGGCTGCACTACACCTAACCAGGCCCAATCCATACCCACCTCTCTAATTAAGTTAAGAGAAAGGCATCCATCACCTTTTAACACCAATACCATTCAATCAATCAAAAAATAACATATTCTCTCATCTATTCATTTTCATGTCCTTTTTTTTTTTCACTAAGTCTCTCTCTATTTAAACACAAAGCCTCATTCCTATACATCCATTTAAATATATATATGAGACCCATTATCCACTCATTCAATATAAATTTTTATGTTATATTCTCAATAATAATAAAATTTAATATTTTTAAATTTATAATAATAAATTTTAAATACATGAAAATGAAAGAACACTATAATACCAAAATAATTTAAATTAAGATTGCACAAGAAAAAAAAATAGTACAATTAGAAAAAATATCTTTTTTAGTTGTTGGCAAAATAAGTTCAAATAAGTTCAAAAATATCTCACTCCTCGGGCTGGGTGGTCGCTTGTTTAGAACATTCCTTGGGTGGGCAGGTTGGTCGAAGACCTCATGTTTAGAATATTCCTCGGGGTGGGCAAGTGTGAAGACCAAAACCCACCATGACAAAGGCCCTCGGGCTGGGTGGTCGCTTGTTTAGAACATTTCTTGGGGTGGGCAGGTTGGTCGAAGACCTCCTGTTTAGCCCTCGGGCTGGGTGGTCGCTTGTTTAGAACATTTCTTGGGGTGGGCAGGTTGGTCGAAGACCTCCTGTTTAGAACATTCCTCGGGGTGGGCAAGTGTGAAGACCAAAATTCACCATGACTAAGGCCCTCGGGTTGGGTGGTCGCTTGTTTAGAACATTTCTTGTGGTGGGCAGGTTGGTCAAAGACCTCCTGTTTAGAACATTCCTTGGGGTGGGCAAGTGTGAAGACCAAAACCCACCATGACTAAGGCCCTCGGGCTGGGTGGTCGCTTGTTTAGAACATTTTTTGGGGTGGGCAGGTTGGTCGAAGACCTCCTGTTTAGAACATTCCTCGGGGTGGGCAAGTGTAAAGACCAAAACCCACTAGGACTAAGGCCCTCGGGCTGGGTGGTCGCTTGTTTAGAACATTCCTTGGGGTGGACAGGTTGGTCGAAGACCTCCTGTTTAGAACATTCCTCGGGGTGGGCAAGTGTGAAGACACAAAACCCACAATGAAGACCGAATAACCGGGTGAGAAAACACGAAGACGTGAGCACCGGGATGAGCGAATCTTCAAGAATGGAAGACGAGCACAAAAGCATGAGCGTAGAAAAGAAGCCCAATGGTGTAGGAAACCCGTCATGTTTAAGGCCACGAGGCTGGACGGTCGCATGCTTCGACCACCTCCAGGGGTGGGCATGTGTTCAAAACGTTAAAACCCGTCATGTTTAAGGCCACGAGACTGGACGGTCGCATGCTTCGACCACCTCCAAGGGTGGGCATGTGTGTATGTATGTGTTACGACTAAATTATTCAAGTGATGGTGAGGCAAACATAAAAACATCATTTAGATAACGAAGAGTGAGCCGACTAATGAAAACATGTTGCTCATTTATCAAAGTTCGCATCAACCATACCCTGAAGTCCACTTGGGTTTTTCCACCAAAGTGTTATAACAAAAACATTAAGCCAAATTGCCTAAGAGCATTATTGAAGATAGAGGCGAGTCAAAAATAAAACATTACCATTTCAAGAATATCACAAAGCTTATCAGATTACAAAACTAAAGTTCGAAAACAATAAAATACAAGAGGAGCTACTCTAAGGAGGAGGGGCGGTGGTTGAGTCATCATTGCTCGAACTGGCATGAGGATCGGGCTGAGGGCTGGTCCTGGAGGTCGAGTCGCAAGCTTCGTTGAGAGGGCGTTGACGTATAGACTCGGTCAGCACGGCCAGCATTGAGGCAGGAGGAGTGAGGCCATCGGACAGAGCATAGGTCTTCTTTAAAGTGTCCGATCGAGCCAGAGTCCTTTCGAGCAGTCCTGACCACCACTCGTGCTCAAGCGGTATGTTGGGATCGCCCTGGAAACTAGAAGGGACCTTGGGCAAGGCCTCCCAGATAGCCCCAGGGTCAAGCTGCTCGAAGTCGTCCTCGGCGATCTGCTCGCCAGCCTTCTGAAGGGCGAACTGAAAGCAATCCACCCCAAAATCTTGCACCTCCTTCAAAAAATGTGGTGACCGTGTGTAATCGGCCACCACTTGTTCACGGAATTCGCGGAGGAAAAGCTGCCCAATTGTCGTGCCCCACATCATTTGCCGAGCTCGAAGAGCTGCAGCATCAGCGTAGCATTTGCATTGGCGTGCGTGGACAATCCTTTCTTTGGCTAAGGTAGCCTCCAGCTCCGCTCGAGCAGCCTCTGCCTGTACCCGAGCAGCATCCGCTTGCGCTCGAGCAGCCTCCGCCTGCGCTCGAGCAGCCTCTGCTTGTGTTCGAGCAATCCGCTCTTGCTCGAGCGCAGTTTCTCTCTCTTTCAGCGCAGTTTCTTTTTCCGCCACCGCAACCTCCTTTGTCGCGAGGGCGACTTCTCTCTCCGCGAGAGCCTTATTCTTCTTGACGAGCTCCTCATCAAGAGACTTGACCTTGACTTCGAGCTCAGCATTTTGTTCTGCCCGAGTCTCGCGGAGTTTGGCGTTGTGCTGCACAAGGGTCGAGTTTTTATCCTGTAGGTAGCCGATGGTGCCCTCGAGGCCCTTTATTGACTTACCCGAGCTGTCTTGGGCCTCTTTGGCCAAGGGTAAAAAGTCGACCAGGCCCTATCAGCAAAAGCGATGAAGTAATTCAACATATGTATGGACAAAAGGAAAATGAAAAGCACCAATGTAAAGTTAGAGATGAATAATACCTGAGCAAGCCACTACACGAATTTGTCGCCAACCTTGAGCAGCGTGACAGGGGCCTTTTTGCGGTCATCCTCAAGGAGGGCACCCCCGAGGCGGTCGGCCACCTCATTAACAGAAGCCGACAGGAGAGACGTCGACTTTGGGGCCAGCGGATCAGGCCACTGATGGCTAGTGCGTCCTCGTTTCCAGACCACCTCACCTTGGTCGGTACGAGATCGCTTGCCCAGGGTGCCTTCTCGTTCCCCGCCGCCTTGATCATGGCGCACGACCATATCTTTGGTCGAGCCCTCAAGGGGGTAGAAGACTGCGGATTGGAGAGATGTTTCTCTGGGGTTTTGGCCTTGGATGACACATGGGAGCCAGAGGATTTTTCCGCAGCTTCGGAAGAAGTGGTATCCTTTGGATTGGGAGCTCTATGGTCGATTTTTTGGTGGCTGGCAGATCGGTGGCGACCGTCGGTTTTATGGAGATCGTCGGGTTTTTGGTGGTGACTGTCAGCTTTCTGTTGGCGGTCGAGGTTTTTAGTGTGGCGATCATCTGGCTTGGATGTGCTCGAGGAATGGGTGCCGATGGTCAGAGTAGAAGATGGTTGTGATGTTTGGCCAGGAGGAGGTGGAGGGGTTTGGCGTGGTTGCTGTTGTTGTCGTTGTTGTTGTTGTCGCGGTTGTTGTGGTTGCTGCTGTGTTTCCTTGGACGATGGTGGAGGAGGCGGCGGAGTCTGCCGCGGGGGCGATTGCTGTTGCGGCTCCGGTCGAGATCCACCAGAGCTGGCTTACCCATCGGCCTTGTTGCTGGTCGATCCAACAACAGTTCCCGATTTCTTCTTCAGAGGAGTTTTCCTCAGAGGGATGCTGAAACTGGGCACCTCTGCAAGAAAATCACAACATAGATTATATTCGATATCAGTAATAATCACTCAGAACAAAAACAGAGAAACGCATGAGCACTCGACTAATCTGCTAGGGGATTACCTAGATCATCTTCAAGTCGAATGAGATTGAGGATCTCGTCGGAGGGAGGAGGACAAGTTTTGTGGGTGAGAAGACCACAGTGGTGGAGAAGGTTCTCTTCC